TTGACCGCCGTTATCGGCATGGGTGCTGCTGTCTGGTACACTCTCGGTGGAGGTCTATCAGACCAGGAGATCGAGGAGCAGTGGAAGAAGAACCACGCGGCGAAGGAGGCGCGGGGGAAGTTCTGGGGGCTTGGGAAGGCGTTGAAAGGGTAGATAGATTCGAGATTGGGATACGCGAGCGACGCGCTTTGTGTTTGTATCTTGAGATGGTGTCTCGTTGTAGTAGTACGATATGGATCGGGATTGAGACCGCCTTTCTATTTTTTCCGACGAGCTGCTATTTGGGAGGCCAGGCTAGAGAACTGATCGCGGTCGGGAGACCGATACGGTACACGTCCTCCAAGCCGAGCGCTAAGCCTTCGGCGAACTCGGACCGAAATGCCGCAGGAGGAAGCCTCCCATCAAAACACGTATCGGACCTGCAGCCGCCTGCGGTGTTCACTGGTACGGCCTCCCTCCTTCCCTCGCAGATCCCTCGCAGATCTGTCAACTATGTTGATAGCCTGCTCTCACTGTAGCGCGAGTCTCTCAAACAATAGGCGCCCCACGGCGATGAACGCAGCGGGGATGTATACAATCACTCCATTCCTATCGTACACCGTCGTACAAATTTGCAAAGCAAGGTCGACATAATGACCGGTTGAGTGCCGGGTCTGCATAGCAAGGTAAAGCATGCGTGCATGTACAGATGATACACCATATATGAGAGAGCCCAGTCGCCGTAGACTCCGCCATTTTTGCGCCCACGAAGCGCCTCGCTCGTCAAGAAGGGAACGGCGAGGACGCTTAGAGCTTGCCAACATTGGCGGTGCTCTGGCCGGCGGCCTTGGCACGCTTGCGGAGCATGGCGGTCGACTTAGCGCCGCGAAGACCTCCACCCCACTCACGACGAGCAGCCTCGTACTTGTCGGAGCTACGATGGTGTCAGACAGGTAGTCGAAGGGGTAATCGAGAGAACGTACAAGTTGGCCTTGGCGGCCTGGACGAGGGTTGCGAGCTCACGCTCGTCCTCCGAGCGGACCTCCTGGATGGTGAGGACGGCAGCGGTCTTCTTGTGGACGACCGTACCGAGACGGGCCTTGCCCTTGACGATGACGTAGGGGACGCCCATCTTGCGGCAAAGAGCGGGGAGGAAGACGACGAGCTCGATGGGGTCGACATCGTGGGCAATGACGACGAGAGCGGCCTTCTTGGCCTCAATGAGGGCGACACAGTGGTTCAAGCCGTACTTGGCGAAGATAGGCTTCTTGGTGTCCTTTTGGGTCTTGCCCTCGGCCGTCTCCTTGGCGGTGGCGTCGAGGCGGGCCTTCTTCTCCTGCTTCGTCTCGGGGCGGTACTTGTCGAGGAGCTTGAAGAGCTGGGTGGCCGTGTTCTTGTCCAGAGTGTGGGAGAACTGGGCGATGGCCGGGGGCACCTTGAGGCGCTGGGAGAGGATGACCTTCTGGCGCTGAAGGCGAACGTACTCCGGCCACTTGACAAAGCGGGTCAGGTCAGTCTTGGGCTGGATGTCGCCGCCTGGTTATATTCGAGTCAGAGATGGAATAATCGGAACCGAGAATTACACATACCAATGGAGAAGTTCTTGGGGCGCGACTCGAAGAGGGGGTTCTTGACCGCCTTGGTCGACTTGCTGGCGCCAAAGGGTGCGGCGGCGGGCTTCTTACCGGTGGGCTTCTTCGGGGGCTGGTCATTGAGACGAGGTCATTAGCAACAGTACACATAAAGTGACCGCCACGCCTGATCCCCGGAGCTCTAGCGCCCGACGCTACAAGTAACGTCGGGCCCAGCATATATATAATTGTGCTTCATCGCCACACCGGGCTCAGCGATCAAGAGAACGAGTCTCTGAGTATATGCCAGGAGGGTCTGCAGACACAAGTCAGTTGGGCGCACGGCGTTATCCAAAGCCTCAACGCACCATCCATCCCATACAGGACGCAATTTCTACGGATGACCACTCGCTTCGAGCTCCAGGGATGCCTGCGGGCACGTCGCGCACGATGAACTCACCATGGCGGTCGACGGGGTCTTGCTGGAGGGCGGATGGGCGTACGAGACGAAAAGAGGCGCTCAGGGAAAATCGACCATCAAGCGCCCGCCGCGCGCTCACGTGCCTTTGGGTCCTGAGCGGCGCTTGACGCGTACCCGCCGAGTCCTTCCGCGACTCCGCAGAACTCGACGCGCCGGGCGTCCAACCAGAAGATAGGCTCTTGATTTGCTGAAGTTCTCAGGAACATCGTCAAAGTTTTGGAGCCATGTTATGAGTACTTCTTTGTGTCCCGGGCTGCGGGCGTCGAGCGTTCCGGCTGGCGACTTGTCCTACTTCCAGTCAGAGCCCGTAGGCCACTTATCTGCTGATGGCCAGATCACCCTGCTGCCAAGGCGCTCAGAGTCACACGTGATGGATATCTAATAAATATAATTGGGCCTCGATTACTTTTGAGGCATACCACGCGTCGACACCCTTCTCAGCAGCGTCTCCTGTGCCTTCGGCAAACGAACGTTTCACAGTAGAAGTCGTGATCGGAGCAACAAACATCAATGGATCAGACATAATACTACACAATACAAGACACGCCCGACAGAATGACGAAAAAGGGCATCGTCTGCAGTCTCGCAAGCCGTGGTAGAAATGTGCAGGGAAATCGTGATAGTACTTGAGATGTGACATGCGATTACGCGGCGTCCTTCTCCTTGACATCGTACTCGGCAACCTCGTCGTGCTATTACAGACAACGTGTTAGCTTCTAAGTCATTGATCTAGTATCACAAAGACTCACGTCAATCGCCTTGTTCTCCGATACGACCTGCTCGAGCGTCTTCTTCCCGACATCGCGCGAGATCTTGTAGGCCGAGAAGACATGGCCTTGGGCAAAGACCTCCTCGATCTCCTCGAGCGTCCTCCCAGCTGTCTCAGGGAACATGAAGAAGAAGTGGATGGCCGCGGCAAAGTTGAAGGTGCCGAAGATGAAGTAGGTCTTGTACGCGATCGTCGACAAGCCAGGTGGGACGGCCCACGCGAGCGCAAAGTTGAACACCCAGTTGGTCGCGGTGGAGACCGACACAGCCTTGGCGCGGACCTTCATGGGGAAGATTTCGGCCGGGTAAGTCCACGACACAGGACCGAGCGCGATGGCGAACGAGCAAACGGCGAAGTAGGAGCAGACGATGATGCCTTTGGTTGCGGCGTCGTGGCCGTCGATGAGCCAGATCTTGTTGCCGTCAAGCTCTCCCCAGTGTCCAAAGCGGCCCTGGAGGCCACCAACGAGCATCAGGAAGAAGCCCATGCAGATGGTTCCAGAGATAATCATCGGACGGCGACCCCACTTATCGATGAACAGGATGGCGGGGACTGCGACATGTTGTCAGCAAATTGCGGATGCCAGCTGGCAACGAGTAAACATACTAGTGAAGCAGACGTTGAGGACGTAGTTCACACTGTCTGCAATCAGGTTGGCGCGGCGACCGGATAAACCAGCACCCTGGAATACGTAGACAATGTAGTACCTAGATGACGGTCAGGGCACTTGGCACCTATAGAAGGGTAGGAATACACGCACATCATGATGTTCATACCCGACAGCTGAGACCACATCTGCATGGACATGCCGAGGCTGACACGACGGAAGATACCGGGCTTCAAGAGGTCCGCGTACGACTTGGCACCCTCAGTACGCTCGAAGGCGACTTGACCGCGGATCTCCTCGTATTCGAGAAGTACAAGCTCGTTATTCTTGTTACCCTGGCCGTGAAGGTCAGCAAGAATTTGGAGTGCCTCCTCTTCGCTGAAAGGAGGTCAGTATACCGAGCCGCAGAGCAGAGACTGATAGGCCTCACCGGTCATTGTCGATGAGCCAGCGCGGGGATTCGGGGAAGAAAAGCATGCCGGCGGAGAGCAGTGCGGCGGGAACCATCTGGAGTCCCCATGGGATTCGGAAAGACGCGTTACCGTCAAGATAGCTGCATCCGAACTCGATGAAGTACATGATCAGGATACCCCAGGTGATAGACCATTGTTGAAGGGCGACGAGACGACCACGGATGGCGGGAGGAGTAATCTCTGACTGGTAGATGGGAACTGCGAAATAAGCTGAGCGTACTGCCTGAGTCGCATGCGGCACCTTATCACGTACCGACCGAGGACGCGATACCGACGGAGAGACCAGCGATGATACGCCCAACAACCAGCATGCCACGGTTGACCGATGCGCACTGAAGAATGGAACCGACGATCCAAATGAGGCCGGAAAGGATGATTGTTTTTTTGCGTCCGATTTTGTCAGCGATGTAGGCGACCGCGAGTGAACCTACGAAGGAGCCGGCGGGCATCGACGCGACGATCGCTCCCTGAGCGTTGGATGTGGGGTTGTGGAAGTACTCGATGTATGCCGGGTTCTATAGACGAATGTCAATTTAGGTGCCGGATCGGCAGAGACGGCGCACTCACGTTCAAAACAGCGGACATGGAAGACTATCATGGCGATGGGTGAGCATTTCAGTGTGTCCAAACTCGCAGTGACGGCTTACAATGTCCAAACCGAAGAGACCACCACCTGCGAGAATGTCAGCCTCTACGTTTCTCCACCCGGCAGAGTATACACGTACCAATACATGCGAACGAACCCACGATGTACGGGTTCGCCGCGATAGCTGCGCTATACTAATCAGAGGATTAGAATTTCGAGCTTCTTGTAAGGAGAAGAAGGAGCACGTACACCCTTGCCCATTTTGCCGGCTCGTACAGGGACACAAGCGAGGACAGAGGGGGTTGGTCTAGAAAGACGCAAGTGGCATCGGGGCGTACCCCGCCGCACTTTTATAGGGCGAAACAGCTACACCTGTTGGTCGCTGGCCCGCAACAGTTGTGCCTGTGTTCTCATGGGAGAGGAGATGCTTCTGAGCGTTGAGGAATGTTAAAATCGATGATACACGGTCGCATGACCGATCGGCCGCGCATCGGCACCGTCACCCATACGCTTTCAGCAATTTGGACGCCGTCCGGTGACCCGCTGGCCACAAGGTCGCTGGCGCGTCTGTGACGCCCATCAAGTTCGGGGTACTCGTGCAGCCTCGGTCAGGAGGAGATCAGATCGTACTGGTACCTATAGCTTTATCGCTTTAGTGTTCACGAACGAAGTACGAAGAATTAAGAAGGGCTGACTGTCAAAACAGGAAGGCGCCGTGTCCCCCGCTCCCCACAAATCCGCGCGGGAGCATTAACGTTTACTTCAAACATCACCGGCCCCGCGCGCGGGGAACCGGGGCACAATCAAGTCTGCAGGCGGACGCAATATCCCGTTGTACCTGGCGAGTGCATGGTCCGACTGCGGGATGTCCGCGCGGCAATTCAAGTTAGATTTAACTTACAGTGACGACGGACTGAGACATCGCGAAAGAACCAAGAAGAGAGAGGAAGCACCGCTAGACGGTATGCGTTGTAAATGGCTTCTGAAGGGAGTACGCTGAGAGAGTCTCAGAAGCTCTTCTGAAGCTTCAGGGCGCATAAGGCCCGATGTCCTCGAGTCAGTACTTCTATGTAAGATCTGAACCTTGGCGGCATTTCCCATCTTATTGCGTCCTTTGTGATGGATTCATGGATTCTTCGGACTCGTTCCTGGCATGGCTGGCAGAGACCAGCGTCCGCGCTTGCAGCCTGCCGCAGGGTGCGGTTGCCGACTGTCGATATCGTGTCCAAGCTATAGGGTGGGGATCGGTTTGATACGTGGGGTAACCCTGCAGACTTATCGACCGAAGGCTACCCGTGCTTAGGGCGCCAGCGCTAAGAAAGCGCTAAGTTCAAAGACAGCGATGCTAGTGTTGCCGATACCGGAAGGCGGCCCGGCTCGACCACTCCGTGCGAGCTCGACGATACAAATCCAGATGAAGAAGACGTAAGGAAGCAGCATGCCTGATGTGCTGTCCCTAGAGATCGCAAACAGCAGCGAGCAGATATAACGCCTAGGCAAGTGTATGAGAGACGAGGTCCTCCGGGCCGGCGCAGGGGCATCTTGATTTCTCGGTACATCGACCGCTCAAGCGCTCGACAGGCGACCCTCGACGTCAAGGGCGGCGTGAGGGCCAAGTCTGGTAGGCTCTGGTAACATCTACTCAAAGTTGCGGGGCTGAGAGTGCTCAAGCTACAGAATGACGAGTGACATGTCTCCTTAGCGCTTTAGCAGTAGAGTCGACGTCGAGAAGAAGGTCGGTTAAAGCACGAGTCCAACGGTCAACCCAGCCGTCACGATGACGATTGAGGTTGTAGATCTGTATGCCTTGAAATTGATGTGGGCGCATGACGATGAATGTGGAGGCGACGATGTGTACGCGCTTTGTCAAGTCTCCGGATGATGCTCTCCGGTAAGGCAAAGGCTGTGCAAACGCAGCAACTGCGAGAAGCGCTAATTGGGCGCGAAACAGGATGAGGCAGAGGCCGTGGTTAACGGAGACAAGACCCAAAGCCCCTAACTGGCGGCTTCTCTCCCGCAAACGGTCACAGTCCATCGGTCCGTGTGGCTCTCACCTAACGGCGCAACTTAACACTTGTACTTCTCTACCTTCATATCTCGATCGGGCCGGTTTCAAGTAGGAATGTCCTCAGCCGAAGAGAATAGGAATGGAAGTAGTGGTGAGGAGGAGGGTGTGTATAAGCGCAGGAGGATTCAGGTGAGCAGGAGCTCTGCAGCTTACTTCTTTGCCCGTCTGATAGTTCGCGGAGAGTAGCGAGCGTGCGACGTTTGCAGGTTCGTGATACACGTTCTTGACGAGTAGCTGCTTTGAACCATGTGAACGCGTTCAGGAAGAAGAAGAGTATGTGATCCCACTGTTATGTTCATGCACGCTGCTGAATGTCGGACAATGTAGTTCGCTGTGAGGCCATAATCGCGTGCGCGTTTTCAGGAGGCGTGCTCATGCATCACAGGCGATGGGTCCATCCCCGGTAAGAAGTGCTCCAACTGCACGGCCTTCAAGTTGAAGTGCACTTATGATGAAACCGGGAGGGTGCGTTTTGGTAGGCTGCGCTCCTATCCCGACTCTGACCAAGAATGTGATCAGAAACGACCCCCTGCAATGGCTTACGTTCAAGGTCTGGAGGAACGCCTCAAAAACATGGAGCTGCTGCTTCAGCAGCTGTCCGGCTCCAAGTCTTTATCAAACTCGGACTCGGGCGGTCCTGGCGTTACCGACGGTCAATCAGTTGCGGGAAGTCCTTCGGACGCGGGTGCTGATATTGGTCGAGATACTATGCCTTCGACTTCGGACGCGTCTCCTGGGCCCTCGGTGCGAAGTGCACGATTCATGCCGCGTGTTGAAGATCAGTCTCTCGACCCGAGCGACGACGAAGCTGACTTTCAGCTCTCGCAACTCAAGCATAGCTTCAAGCACATGCGTCTAAATGATCGCTTCTTCGGGAAGAGTTCCGGTGCACGCCTGATTAAATCAGCCATGGATCTCAAGATGGAGTACGCGACCGACGAGGATAAGGCAAAGTGGAGGTTTCCTCGGCGACGTAAAGAGTTCTGGATCGCCCAACCGGTCAGTTCATCTCCATCTTCTTGAGCGCACTGTGTTGTACTGACATACATTGTTTAGTGGCAGGTGGAACCTGCAACACATGGCACACCGTACCAATTTCCAGATTTGGACTTGCTTACAGCTCTTGTGGATCTATATTTCAACCATCAAAACCTATTTATCCCTCTCCTCCATCGCCCGATGTTCGAGAGCGCGCTCATTGATGGGTACGATGCACTTACCTGCATATCTTCGTCGACTGAGGCGTCAGTCAGACTGCATCTCAAGGATAGAGGTTTCGGTGCCGTTGTACTAAGCGTGTGCGCTTGTGCTTCTCGTCTCTCTGACGACCCGCGTGTCTTGCTAGACGGCTATGGCGCTGAGTGGCATTCGGCCGGCTGGAAAGTACTAATGTTGATCATTCTATACTGTCGTGTTTCTTACACGTCTATCAGTACCATCTTCAGATACAGCCGACCTTGCTGACCACGCCTACCGTCTATGATCTTCAAGCATATGCGGTGAGCCTCAAGTATGCCCCCATCATCGTGGAACTGGACTGACGGTTCACCAGTTGCGGAGCCTATTCTTGCAGGGCAGTTCTTCCCTACAAGTAGCTTGGACCGTCGTGGGGATCGGTCTTCGCCTCGCTCAGGACCTAGGCGCCCATAGACGACGAACGTATACAGGGCGACCTACACTGATGAAAGAAATGATGCGGCGCGCGTTCTGGTGGGTGAGAAATTCCCTCAACAATTGCGACTGGGCTGACCTGAACCAGGACGATGATTTTGGTTGATAGACGTCTAAGTGTATTGATGGGCCGCTCATGTGCGATACAAGAGGAGGATTTTGATCTGGATTTCCCACTCGATATGGATGATGAGTATATGTACGATCTGGCCAGTCATGAACCCGAATTCCGTCAGCGCCCTCGGCAAATCTCCCGAGTGACGCACTTCATTTGCCTACTCAAGTTGAATCAAATCATGGGATACACGCTTCGTACTATTGTGCGTCGAAGGACACGCACTGCATGAGTATGTCACTGACATGTGGGCAGTACTCAATCAACAAGTCTAGAGTATTCCTGGGCTTCACAGGTCCCGATTGGGAACAGCATATCGTATCCGAACTCGACTCCGCCCTCAACAAGTGGCAAGATTCGGTACCTGATCAGCGTGCGTTCGCGTCATTGGTCTGTTCGAGCACGTCCTGATAATCGTTTGCAGTCAGATGGGATCCTTCTAGGACAAACCCGGTGTTCATGTTGCAGTCCGCCAATCTATATGCCATGTATTACTCGTTGCAAATACTGGTTCATCGACCATTCATGATGACACGCGACAACACGAATCCGCTAGCTTTCCCCAGTCTCTCCATCTGCGCTAATGCTGCTCGGTCGACGGCCCGGATCCTTGCCATCGTCAAGGAACGATTCCCGCGCAAGACTATCCCATATTTCTTAGTGAGTTCTTTTCTCCTTTCAAATGATACGATGACTGATTACGTCGCAGCATCACGCGGCTTGCTCTTCGGGTGTTATGCTCATACTGAATATTTGGACGGCGAAATCCTTCGGTGTGGCCATTGACCCCGCGAGGGAAATGGAGCTCGTGAACGTGTGCATGGACGTGATCAAAGAAGCAGAAGAACGGTAAGAAATTGAAACGTCCGCGTATCTTGTGACTGACCGCCTTCCTTCAGTTGGCACGCGGCAGGCAGACTCTGGGATGTCATGAACGATCTGGCCCACAACATATCAACCCCTCTCACTGACTTCTGTCTCCCAGCATCCGCGAAACGCGGGCGTTCGCCAGATGCTACCGACGAGGATGGCAGCTCTTCGGGCCCCAAAGCGCCCACTTCACTACTACCTCACAATATGCAGTTCGCCGGCCTCCCAGGCGACATCTCTCTCGGCGGATTCGGGGATGACTTCGCAGCGGATCCTAGCCAGCATGGCTACGGGCCATATTTGGACGTAGACGCATTGATGGCGAGTCTTTCTGGCGGACATCCCGCAAATGCACAGAATGGTGAGGCTCTGAACGGCGACGCTACACAGCCAGGACCTTCAACCGGTAGCATGTTCGACATGTTCCAGCATGATGATGGCGGACTGCATAATTCGGCACAAGAGAGTTCCGTCGACATGATGCGGGAAATGTGGGATGGAGATACACTGGGGCGGTATGTATCGGTCGCTTAACCATCGCACTCATTGCTGACCAGCTCGAAAGGCCTAATTGGGGTACACCAGCGTCACTTCCAGGATTCGGAGTGGTTTGATCCGGGGAGCACAATACGAGTATGGACGTTTTGATCGCCGATACTGTCATGATAGGCGCAGTGCAGCATCATTTTACTGGATTCTTTGTACATAACACGAGCGAGAACCCTTTAGGTTTTATCTATATGTACTTGGAAATCATTGCCGCATAACCTCGTGTGCTCTGGCGGTATTATTGATGCAGATATCATGTGGAAGACACGTTGCCCTAGATTAGGGTTGAGGTGCAGAAGGCACGGCAATTCCCGACGACGCGCGCTTGCTTTTCGAGAGTCACTCTCAACCACCATATGCCCGTCCGGCATCGTCGTTAAAGCAATGCTCTCCCGGCCTATACAGCACTCTCTACCCAATTCCCGTTATCACTCATCTCAACATCTAGGAGTTCCCATTTCTCCCCCTCTACCCATTTCTCATCAAGAAAGCGGTCAATCCAGAGAATCCGAATGCCATCTCCCTCAGCGGAATAGCCGGCAACGCGAGGATCTGGGCCAAGAAACTCATGTCTGAGAAGGAGACTCGATGAATACGAGGCTAAGCGATTATTTGTGGCCTTCGAGACGCACCTGCTTTCCTGGATTCGCGCCTCTGTTACGTAGTTCACCTTCTCCCTGTCCTTCTCCTCTGCCAACTCCTCGTAGTGTCGAAAAACAAACTGGTTGAGATCGCTGCCAGCGCTGATCACGCGGAAGTCTACACCGTCTTTCGCCAGATAAGATCGTGGAAGGGATACGCGCGTTCGCTGGTGCACGACTCGGCGTTCGACTGGCCATCGGTGGATGCTCCAGGCTGTCAAACGACGCATTTTTGTGAGATCCCTTGCGGCTTCCTTGCGGGCCTTTTCATCCACCGGCTTTGGTGGTGGGATCGATGCGATATCCCTATATTCGTTCTTCACGGTCATGCTACCTGACGAACGTGTGAGGCAGAAAGCAAAATTGATAATGCCAATGAGTACATACCGACTCGGAGGATGTGAGATGGATGCACGATGATGGGAGGGTTGATTCGGCTGTCGTTCGATCTGTCCGGATCCGTCATGCCGGCGTTCAAACTTATTTTCCGGGTTGACTTAGGACGGTAGGATGCGGGTGGTCAAAGTATGGCATGGATATAGACAGCACTTTGTATGATTTTACTTGTGATCTAGGTGCTTCTCCTTGATGAAGAAAGAGCATATCACCGCGCATACGGCCAGGACCGTACAGAACGTGAAGACTGTTTCTACCGCTCCGGCGTAAGAGGCGAACACAATCTCACGTGTGTCCGCTGGGAGCTCGTCGATGTATGCGAGAGTCTCCCGGACACGGCGAACGATCTGGAGCAGCTAGTCAAGACAGGTAAAGATGGCAATGAACTAACGCACCTCATCGACGTTACCGTCCGTCAGACCACTCTTCAAGAGATGGCGCAGGCGTTCCTGGAAGATCGTGGAGCCTACGGAGATTCCCAAGACAGAGCCTAGAGAGCGGAAGAGATACGACACTGCGGTCGCAATTGCTTGGTCCGTGGCGCTATCATCTCTTCAGTCTGTTGAGTACTAGACACAGATGGGAAATATTACGCACCCGGCCTGATGGATGAGCGCAATTAAGGTCGTAGTTATCCCAGAGCCGTTGCCGAGTGACATGATGAAGAGCCCTAGCGTACGTTCAATGAAGTACCGTGACTAGACGATGAGCGCAAATACCTATTTCCAGCCCGACGAAGGAGTGGCCAATGATACCAGTGCTGAGGGAGACGAGAATCTGGCCTCCTAGCATCAGAGCGTAGGAAAGTACGGTTAACACCCAGTATCTCCCCGTCACTTGCATGATGTAGCCGCCAGCAAGCGAACCAATGACACCTGCGATGATACCTGCAAAGAGCTTGATGAGACCAATAGAACGCCATAGACAATGACCACAACATACCAGGAATGAGAGCAGAACCTGCTTCGGCCGCACTTCTATGCAACACAGCCTGAACGTAGAGGGATACATAAAAGATCAAGCAAACGCCTCCCGCGACGCAGAAGAAATTGCAAAGATACGCTGCGGCTAGAGTGTGATTCGCGACGATGCGTTTTGGCGCAAAAGGCTCCTTGGCGAGCCTCATCTCGACGAGGACGAATGTTGAGAAGAAAAGGCCGAAAATGATGAGCGCGACCACAGTAATGGTGTCGTCCCACGCAACGTTGCCTCCCCTATCCATTGCGAGTAGAAGAGCGCACAAGGCTATGACCAAAGTGAAAGCGCCTCCGAAGTCGATGCGTTTCAGGCGATCCTTCCAATGGGCGGCTTCAGGTTGAGGAAGTCTGAGAGCATAACCGACCAGTATCAACGCCACGATTGCTAATGGTGCCTGCGCGATGAAAGACCTGGCAAATGCGATCAGAATCAGTAATCGCGACAGAAGACTCTCGTGGTCGGGGATCTGACCATCGCCACCCAATACTGTCGGCAAGGACTCCGCCTAGTGGTGCACCCACGGCCATGCCTGTAGCCCAGACCTTCGCGAATCAGTCAATAAAGGAGTAGACGTATGTTGACAGTAGTGCTCCCCACCAAGTTGAGTATGCCTAACGTTACGATCATTAGACAATATACATCTCCTGAGTGTATAGAGGCTTACCTTGCCAAGTACCCCGGGACCGGAGAGGTACAAGATCGCTCATAATGATCGAAACGAGGCTTTGTCGGTTCTGTAAGTTGCCAGACTGGCCGCTTGAGCGGACACACGCACGTCTGCATGCCTCCACCTCCGATACCAGCAAACGCCCTCGCAGCTATCAACTCCGTCATGTTCCTCGCATAACCGCATGCCAGGCATCCTATCGAGAATATGACATATGCGAACATCAAGCACGGCTTTCTGCGGAGCGCTCAAGGTGTGAACATCAAGCCACAAGGCGTCATCCGGACGACAGCTCACCGGCCGAAGATGTCGCTCATCTTGCCGTAGAGCGGCTGGAAGCTGGCGAGCGTTAACATATATCCGGTTGATACCCAGCTAAGAAAGCCTTCAGTCCATTGCCGCCCTAGTTGTGGCAGGAGGACTTACCTAGTACGCTGAAGCTCGTTGAGTTCGTCACCGATGCTGGCATAGGATGAGAGAACGATTGTGCCGTCCATTGAGGCCAAAAATGTGCCCAAAGCCATCGGTGCTACCTAGCAGACGTTTAGAATGTGCACCGAAGGGAGACTCAAGCCAGAAGTCGCACAGTGAGCAGCAGTTCGCGGAAGGGTTTCACAGAAGGCTCCGTATGAGGGGCTTGCGCCTCACCCTCCTCGACTTCGGACGGTGAGGCTCTTTTGGGGGCAGCTTCTATGATACTGGGTGCACGGGTAGTCGAGCCAGATGCATCAGGTGCACCGTCTTGCAGCAGCGGCGTACGTTCTGTGGCCGACATGGTCGTCTCAGCCGCGTTGTGTCACCGTGCTGGTAGGAGGAGACAAGAACGAGACGGGTATCCGACCGCGCAGCGCCATTATCTATCTGTCCGTGGCCGTTGTGATAAGTAGCCTGTGATCGAGGGGGCATGAGCTAAGGCCCGGCGCGGCCCACGCCACCGGAGAGGCAGGACCCGCGCAAAGTCGCGCGCGCCGCGTCAGATATGCTGACGAACAGGCACGACTCCGAAGTCTTCGGGAAAGTCTAACTAGCATGCTCATATTAAACTTGTACAAAGCGGTTCCGTATGCAAGGAAAAGTCTAATATACACACAACAATGTAGCGTATACAGCATTCCATAGAAACCGCTGTATGTACGCGAAGCCAGCATCCATCATCCTCGTGCTCTCGATCCGTGGGATGCCAGAACCCTGTCCTTCAGGAAGACCGATGTTAAGAGGGCGCACACTGCCAATCCAAGGCAGAAAGCGAAGACTACTTGTAGAGATTTGCCGTACGCATCATGAACAGCGGCCTGCGTGTCCACGTCCAACTCTTCAATATTGGACAGCGCTTCGCGGACCTTCCCTACGATCTGCGACAGTGACTTGTGAGAACACGACCCCGGCGCAACCACCTCCACGTCCACGCACCTTCTCGACATCTTGCAATTCGTAACCGCGAAGGGCCTTCTGAAGTAGGCGTCGGAGGGTATCCTGGAACACGGTACTGCTGATTGAGAGGAAACAGACCGAACCCAGACTGCGGAAAAGGTAAAGAACTAGTGATGGCAGCATGAGTTGAAGGCATTCACAGTATCATCAGACGAGATCTCACCGCCGCTAGCGACTGCTTGCTCCTCTGGCCCGGCTTCTGCTACTAGAGATACTAGAGTAGTATTCATGGCGCATCCTATGATAGTATACGTCAGCATGTCAATCTCTTGAGTGGAAGATCTCACGCACCATTCGCGATGGCCACTAGGAAGAAGCCTACGCAGTATTGTATATCAGCATACACACTCTGTGTACAAGATGAACAGACTTGCCGAGTTCAATCGCGATGTAGAAATGGGCGAGAACGCCTGTGAATGAGGCGATGAAAAGACTTCCTAGTACCATTCCAGCATTGAGCATGACAGTGATCTTCTTGAACCGTCCTGTCGCTTGGGTATATTTCCCTCCGGCTAAACTCCCCATGAGGCCACCGATGATGCTAGGGAGAAGAGCAGTGCCGGCTTGAGCGGCCGTCTTCCCACTAACCGCGCGAATGTACAGCGAGATATAGAATGTCGTGGATATGATGGTCCCGCGGCTGGCCATGTTGGATAGGTAGATCACCAGATACGTAGGATTGGTGAGTGTCTTGCCCGGAATGACCGGTTCCTTAGCGAAGTTCCGTTCGGTCACGATCAGAGCTCCCAAGAAGACGACGAAGATGCCGAGGGGTATAGTCGTCTGTTTGTTGGTCCACCCAACGTCCCCTCCATGGTCCAGCGTCACAAGCAGAGACGCGACAGTAGAGATGAGGCAGAAAGAGCCGACGAAGTCGATCCTGCGCAGCTTATCTTCCAATGCAACCCTGCGCTGCCCTGGGATGTTTAGCAGCGCGCCCACGGTGCCGAAAGCGAGCATTGCCAAAGGGATCTGGAAGAAGAAGGACCATCTCCAGCCAACGGTATCCGCCATCCATCCGCCAAGGGGTGCACCTATGACACTCCTTGAAGGGGCATCATGAGCATACAGACCACTTCGGTCATCTGAGACGTGACTCTCACCCTGCCATCCAGACAATGTTGCCCACTCCTGCAAGTGATTGGATTCATCAAGGGGATCTCCAAGCAGGAAGGTGACAGTACTCACCGTGCCACATCCCTCTTTCTCGCAATGGGACCAGGTCTGACATAGTGATAGTGACTACCCTGCGAATGACGTGTGTTAGGCTGGTACGCGCCGATGCGCGGTGTGAAGTCTAGCTCACGTTGTCATTCCTCCGCCACCCATTCCAGCGAGCATCCTCGCCGCAACCAATTGCCACATACTCTTGGACATACCACACGCAAGGCATCCAAGAGCAAAGAGCGTATATGCGACGAGTAAACATGGTTTTCTCCCAAAGATGTCCGAGAGTTTCGAATACAATGGTCTATAGCGCCTATCAGCGCATGCGCATGCTAAAGTTCGACGACGGACGTACTGTGATGAGGCTTGGGTCAACAGGTAGCCTGTCGATATCCAGCTCATGCTTTTCAACTCCTTCAACTCGTCCCCCACCGACGCATACGATGCCAGTACAATTGTACTGTCAAGAGCGGCCAGCCACATGCCGAGCCACATAGGGGCAAACTGAACACGCGAACATCAGCATGAGGCAATTATCCGCGAACGCGTCTGGCCACGCACGATGAACAGGAGTTCCCTGAAGCTGCGCTCCTTAGGCGCGGACTCGGCCAGCTCAACTTTTGAGCCGAGAGGCTCATCAGAGTCTGCGATACCGTCGAAGCCAGTCAGCCGACGGGGTGTATCGGGCGAGCGCTCATTATCAGGGTCGTCCAGAAGGACCGCGCGCTCAACGTCGTCAACCTCCTCCTTAGTCATGGTCGACGTTGGCGAAAGGGAGGGAGAAAGGGGAAGAACGTCGTCGCGGGCGTCATCGATGTCGCTATATATGCCTCACGAGCACGAGCGCTAAGTGCGAAGTCGGGAGACCAATCTCCTTCTCCACGCGAAGGCACGAAGATAGCAGAGACGATCCACTTGTCAATATGAAGGGCTTCTTACGTCAGGTCGGCGAGGTTACTGATTGGCTGATTGGCGGTCCAAGGGACGGCAGGTATCAGAGTCGGCCGAAATGGCCCCGCACATATACACACGACCCTTCTCCTACCCTTCTTGCCGGGAAACACGAACCGCAACCTGCTGTTCTAACGACTAACGAGCGTATCCCCATCAAGCATCCGGTCTTCCTCCTTCCCAAATCTTTCACAGAACCACCTCAAGCCGTCGGCTTCTCGCGAACCCAGACCGAGCAGAGGAACGCCGTTGCGGAGAGGAAGATGCAGAAGTCGAACGTTCTTTGCAACGAGTGCTCGTAAGCTCCGCGTACCGCTTCGCGGGTGTGCGGCTCGAGCTCTTCCATGTAGCTTAGCGCCTCGCGAACACGGCGCACGATCTTGAAAGCCATTCAGTCAGTCGGCGAAGTCGGGTGTACGACACGGCCGCTGAAGGTACACACCTCGTCGACATCTGCGCCCTCCAGGGTCGAGTGAAGTCTGCGCCTGAGCGAGGCTTGGAATATCGTACTGCCTACTGAGAGGCACAGAACGCTTCCTAACGACCGGAATAGGTAGGACACTGCATGACAGTCAGTCCTGTGCTGCGTGGGGGTGTTTGCAGAGATAACCTACCAGCTGTAGCGACAGCCTGGTCCGTGGGACCCGCTTGACCAATGAGGGATACAAGTGTCGTAGTCAACCCGCAACCTTTACAAGCCCAATCAGAGTTCTTTAGGGTTTTTGATCCAAGTTCGCGGGAACTCACCGTTACCAATCGACATCATGAACAGCCCAACGCCTAACGCAAGATCTGAGTGCCACCCCGCCGCACCCGTCGCAAACGCAATCATCGTACTCCCTCCCATCATCACGACATACATCCCCGTGGTAAGTCTGGTGAACCGGCCCGTCCTCTGTATAACAGTGCCGCCGAGCAAACTCCCCATCACGCTCGCCACTATACTCGGTAGCAGCGTAGCACCAGCTTGCGCAGCGGTACGCCCGCGTACGGCTTGGGCGTACAGCGCGACGTAGAAGACTGTTGCGACACTGCATCCTAAAGACGTGAGGTTGCAGATGTACGGCGCGAGGAGTGCTGGGTTGGAGAGGATGCGGGGTGGTGCTACCGGTTCGCGCGCGAATGATCGTTCTACGACTATGAACACGGTTCCCATTGCGATTGCGCATGCGAGCGCGATGAGGGTAAACGAGTTACCCCATCCGATGTTGCCGCCGCGGTCGAGGGCCGTGAGAAGACTTGCGAGAGCCAGTACGAGGCATCCAGATCCGGCGAAGTCGATGCGCTGGATCTTGGCTTGAAAGGGTGCATGCGAGCCGGGTGTCGGCGGGACGTGCAGAATCTTGAGAACGGCGAAGAAGGGCACCATTGCTAGAGGCGCTTGCAGCAAGAATGACCTAACGAGGAACTGTCAGTAATGCTCGTTGCAAAAGCAGATGGGTGTACATTACCATCTCCAGCCGATACTGTCGGCGAAGAATCCTCCAAGAGGCGCTCCTACAGCTGATCCCGTGGCCCATACTGACCAAATCAGCCATCATAGGCACCAAGACCGCATCCTATCTCACCGATATTGATGATCCCTATGTTTCAGTATCAGATACCTGACAGAAGCGCAACTTCATGACACTGACCTTGCCAAGTACCCCTTGAGCGCAAGTCAATGACGTCCGACATGGTGATTGATACAATTGTCGACATCCCGCCGCCTCCTACACCAGCCAACAGTCGCGCAGCGATAAGCTCTCCCATGGTCCGCGCGTTGCCACATGCGATACAGCCAAGGGCGAAGATGACATAGGCGGAAAGTAGACATGGCTTTCTCCCGAATATGTCGCTAAGTTTACCATACATGGGTCTGTGCGGGCGTTAGTGCATCACGTGGAGTTCTGAAAGTAGTGCAAGTTTCTTACTGGAACGAGGCGAGGGAGAGCATGTACGAGGTCGACACCCAGGATGTGCTTTCGAGGGCATGTAGCTCATCCCCAATCTTCGCAGCGGATGCTATGACAATGGTTTGGTCCATGCTCGCCATGAACGTCCCGATTGCTATAAGGACACAAGTCAACATACTGCACGACACGTTGGATTCGCGACAAACACTTACCCATTGGCGCTACCTGTGCACGTGTCAGTGTGTTAGAAGGCCGCACGTATCAACCGATACGAACGATATAAGCTATCTCCCAAAAGCTCTTCGTTACAGACTCTGCGCCGACCGGCGCAACCTGCGGGGTCACAGCCCCTTCCACATCAGTAGGTGAATCCTGTCCGTCTTCAAGAAGCGCAAGATGCGGGTCGTTCCGAGACGGGCGTTGGCTTCTTCTCGTGCCCAGCCTCGTGTGTGTGTACTTATTGTTTTCCGAGACGGGGAGAGGTCCCGCCCGCCGTCCCCCGTGAGTTTGAGGGGGACATTACAGAAGCAAAGCATTCCTTCTGCAGCGTCAGTAGACGCTGTAAGGAGGGCGGAGCCCGAAACGGCCGCGCTGGACGCGGTCACATGAGACACGCGCTAGACGCGTCGCCGAGCCTGCGCGAAATGTGCGAGAGGCTGGCGCGAAGCCGTAAGAGCCGCGAGCTGCTACGCACGGGTGA